GAGGAAAAATTCAAGTAATATTTTAAAATTCATTCCTTAAAATCTGGTTGCTCCTTGAAATAGTCTATATGCAAGTCCTTGTTTAGCAGCCTCATAAGATGAAGTACATTAGTCCTCCTTATCCACAAGGATGTGCTTTAAGACTTCCAGTGGGTGTCTGAAACTATGTTTTCCTATACATACATGCCTATGGTAAAGTTTGATTTATAAGTAGGCATTATCATGTTTTAATAGCAATAACTAACAACAAGAACAATTATAACAATATACTAAAAGTCTTGTGGATGTGTTCTCTCTCAAAACATCTGATTTTACTGTATGCAGATCTTAGAAAGCTTAACATATGACACTTTTTCTTTCCTTATTGAGTCAAGAACTGTCATTGTTTCACTTCAGGTAAGCACTTTAAGGCTTCTCTGGCATATCTAAATTGCCAACATCACTCCTCGGTGCTTTGGGTCTATTATTAAGAATTTCTTGAACAGGGGCACTGCCATATGATGACAGTGATTTGATTAACTGAGAAGGCTAATAAATGTACCTGGTGGGTAGTATATATGGTACAGATACCTTGGACAAAGAAATTATTCACCTCTTAGGCAAGATGGAGTAGGATAGCTTGATATTTCATCATGCTATTCAATTTAAAATTTATATATTTTTATTTCTATAATTTTCCATTTAATGTTTTTGGATTGACTTTGGGTCATTGAAATGATAGAAAGTGAAACCATGTTAAAATAGCCCTCTCTCAGTAATTTGTATATTAGATAAGACAATTGTGTGTGCTTTAGAGGTATTGAGGTATTCAGAGTGTTAAAGAAATTTTTCAGTCCATTTTCATTATTTCCAGTATCTTTCACATTAATGTACCAGGGTATTTATTATAGATTATGTCTGAGGGTATTTATTATTGATTACATGGCTATCTATCAAGACACGTTGGGTACTAATCCTTTCTAACCAGGGATCCTTCCTATGAAATTTAGGAGAACAGAATCAATATATGACATCCAAGCTTCTGTTCTCTGCCTATGTTAAGTCAGGACAACATTGACATCTACTTCAGAAGGAAGCTGAGCTCACTCACAGCATGCTTTGAGTTGCCTTGCCTTAATGAGAGATTCAGCATAGAGTAGCACAGCAAATGACAACTGTCTCCTAAACATTGTCCCTTTTCATATCTACTCAGGTTTCACTTTCCAGGGATTCCAGGATCCCTCAGGCTCATAAGGGCAGGAGCTCCACCTCTCAGAGGGCATTCACTCTGAGCTGTCCAGTCACACCAGGGATCCCAGGAGTGGCGACATGGATAGCCTTGAGCCTCCATACCCACACTGGCTGAAGTTCTCACTTTCCCCTCCATTTCATGCCACTGCTAAACTTTGTCTAAATTACTTTGTTCCACTTTGGACAAGGCCTTATGCCTTCATTGACCAAAACATCAGAAAGACAAAGCATTTGTGAGTAACAGACTATGAATGAAGTTTTGGAGTTACATGGTAGAATCACAGTCCTGCTGACTACCAGCCCAAAGTGAGAGGTGGTCAGTCATGCTGGTCCTGCCATGGCCTGCATGGGCTGCCACATGCCCACTGTTTCTCCAGGGCTGTTTCTCTTTGGATTGCAGATGGCTGCCTCCTCCCTATGTCCTCCCATGTGTCCTACCAGTCCTTTCCACTGTGCACACTGGTGCCTCTGTGTCCTAGTCCTATGTCAGATCATAGTCTACCCTCATTTAAACGAACCCACTTAAATTTAGTCAACTCTTTAAGGTTCTATCTCAAAACATAGGCACATTATGAGTACAGGGTAGAGACATCAACATATGAATTTTGAGGGAATACAATTCAGCCCACAACAATTATCAAGTCTTTTCTCCTCTTCTGTTCAAGCTTCTGATCTCCAAATTTCAGCTCAATTTCTAAGCACAGCAACTTTGTTTTCCATTAAACACTTCTCTACATGTTGAACACAAAAATGATACCTCCTTTTGTACGTCAACTTTTTAGTGCAACATAGCAGATAAACATTTGGACATTACAGGTTCTCCTAAACATAAATAAATTCTGAGGTTGATTCCTTTCACCACCAGTCTTTGTCTACAGGTGGGACAAATATGATTTATTCTCTTGGTCCTGATGTTCCCACAGGCCCACAGGGTGGGTGGGATTAGCTGAGATGGTTGGTTTTTTCTTTCTTTTTCTCTTAAATTTACTCCTTTGAATTAAATAAGCATTTGTAGTGGTATTGATTCAAGGGAAAATGAAATGTCTTGTCAATTGGTTATACCTCAGTTTCAGGTTTTTGTTTGAAACAAAGGATTATGCAGTCCATAACAATTATTCTATTGCAATATGCCAGAGAAATGTACTCGACTTTCCAAACCTTTCCTTCTCCTCTAACCAGCCCCACAGACAGCCCTTCCTTCAATGCCACCCTTTTGGGGACTTCTTTTTAAATTCAACAACATTCTCGTCACTCATGCACTCAAGCCAAATTTATTGAGGAATTGGACTATATTGTCTCTAATCTCCACAGTGTTCCTACAAGACGGATATTATTAATCATAGTTTACATATGAGAGATTATAGGTCATGGTCAGAATAGTGGATATAAGATACTTCAACTTGGCTGGGGATTTAGCTCAGTGGTTCTGCCGCTTGCTTTGCAAGCGCAAGGTACCGAGTTCGATCCCCAGTACCAAAAAAAAAGATACTTCAACTTTTCAAATTCTCAGAAAGATGTGGATTCTTAAATTTCTTAGCCATGCCTTTAAACTTTTGGATATTGTAAGGAATATCCATGTTTTTTGTTCTCTTCCTGTTCTACCTCTTTTAAAATTAAAGAGTATTTGCACACACAGGGCTTTATCCTCAATTTCACAGTACCACAAAGTGACTGTTAATGTTAGTTAATTTTTCATTTCACCTTGGCATCCCAGTTGACACTGGTTTACATATGGTGAGTTCCTTGGTCAACCCCTTCTGGTTTAGGCAGGGCAAGAAATGCATCATGCCAGTCAGGGTCACAAACAGCAAGAGGAGGTGCACAGCAGTTGGTGGGGGGCATTGCAGGTAAGGAGACCTGGGTCTATGCCAGTAGAGAGCAAATTGAGACACTCCTCCAGGAAGTAGTATTCTGGGAACATTTTAGAAAAGCAGTGGAACATTCATAAACCAAGAATTAATTCAAAAGGTGAAACAAAATGAACAGGAAAAGAATAAAGCAAGATGGCCAGGGGCCAAAGGAAATAAACATAGACAGGTTGAAGACTGATTCAGGAACAAAATCTTTGATTATGATTATACTGTCTTTTAGGCATATCTTAGCATGTATCCTTAAGGCTCAATTAAAATATCAACAGGACTAGGATTTTTGGATTTATCTCTCCATATTAAGAAACAATTAAAATGTAGGTACCTAACTCAACTGCTTGGTGAGTGCTGTTTGATTCTTCTGAATTCCTTTTTCCCTAAGCCATTCGGTGGGGAAGAGAAACATGACACAATTAGTGGTTAATTTTTATAGACTTACATCCTCCTAATGATCCTAGCATAGCTATTATTTCCATTATACAGAGGACAAAATGGGAGCACAGAAATGCTGAGGCCTTTCCTGTGGTTTCAAAATGAGGAAGTAGCAGGGCAAAAAATTGAGATGGTTGCTATTCAATGTGTTAGGAGATAAAATAATGAAAGATACAGTATCAAGAAATAAAGATCCAGGGCCAGGGATTTAGCTCAGTGGTTCTGTCGCTTGCCTTGTAAGTGCAAGGTCTGGAGTTTGATCCCCGGTACCAAAAAAAAAAAAAAGAAAAGAAAGAAAGAAAGAAAGATCCAACAGGTTCCACTTGGATGAGGATCAAGGTGCGCTCTGCTAATGAGGTGCAGCACAATATGGCGTTATCTCACAATATGGCGCCCATGTAAATACTTGTGGGTTATCTCACAATATGGCGCCCATGTAAATACTTGTGGGTTATCTCACAATATGGCGCTCATGTAAATACTGCTTTTCATTGTGTTCACAGAAATGTCATCGTCGATACTGCTGTCATTATCCAGACACGGAAAGGAATACATAAAAAGGGCTTTTCCTGGGTTTTCTTCTACCAAATAACCCAAAGTCTATGAGACATTTCCACTCACAGCACTGCAGTATTCCATTCGAGTTCATGTTTATTTCAGAGGTTTCTAGATATATGTTCTAATAGTTCATTGTTTGTACTGACATTTTTATAAGAACTAGTGGGGAGGAGGGGAGGAGGACATATTGATCAAAGGATATAGAATTATGGTTAAATTAGGAGAAATATCTTTAAAATGTGTCCATAATAGGCAAATATAGACAGAGAGTAGATAAGGGATTGATAGGGGTTGGAGGACTAGAACAGAGCAAAGACTTTTAATGGTTATGGAATTTCTTTTTTTATAGGTTGATAATGTTTTAAAATAGACTGTAGTGATGGTTACATGATTCTGTGATCATGCTAGGAATATCACGCTTTATACATTAAGTGGGTGGATATGATAGGTAAATATATAAAGCTGTTTAAAAACATGTAGGATCAATAGTTATATAAAAAATCAGTAGTGTGAATAGCATGTTAAGATGCACATAATGATTTTTATACTTCAAGCAGTTTGGGTAAGAAAGATAGTGCCTTCTGAGCAAAAGGTTTCCCTGTGAATAATTCTTCCCAAGGGTAGGAGTAGACTGGGCTGAGAATAGTAGTGAAGTTTCCTTCTCATTGACATGGTTCTTTCTAAAGTTCTCCAGAAGAGCAATTCAACAGATCAAGGAGGCAAGGTTCATTTTCCTTCCAAAACATCAGTTTTGTGGAAGGTCTAGTTTGTCAATATTTTTTCTTTTATATTGTATGGTTAAGAATAAAATGACAAGAATGTATCCACAAAGTTAAAACATAACAGAGCTAATTCCAGTGCTCTGAGAACAGAGGGTGCCGGCTAACAGAAGATTTGTTGAAAGCTGTCATTGGAATCCTAGCTACACTTGACAGCACTATAGATGTGGACACTGAGGATATAGGAGGATTAGTTTCCAAGGCAGGAGATCACTTCCAGGTAAGATTTTATTAAAATTAAGCAGAATAAACTATAAAAATATAAAGTTTCTAATTATGCAAAAGGGAAACTTCCATCAATTGGGTATTTTTAATTGGGCTTTTGTTTAATAAAGTTTTATTATATTTTAATGACATTACTATTAGAGTGGGGAGAGGCTTTCCACTACAAGTTACTTTAACTTCTTTGAAAATGGAGAAATTAGTCATTTCCACCCTGTGGAAGTGTTGTGAAGATCAAATAAGGCATATAAATAACTTGGCAAGTGCTGGGGACATGGTGATGGCTCACTGGATGTTAACTATTGTGACCACTCTTGAAACAGGACAGGAATGGCTGTATGGACTGCATATTGGTAACCCTCCCAAACTCATGTGTTGAAAGCTTACTCCCAGTAGGATGGCATAAGGGGGCGGGGCCTTTGAGAAGTCAGTAGGTCTTGGCAGTGGAGCTCTTGAGATGGGATTTATACCTATCCTAATCCTGAGCAGAGGCATGAAAGAGCTGGCCCTCCTTCTCTGCTCATCATCAAGTGAGGACACAGCAAGAAGACAACCACCTGCAAACCAGAAAAAGGGACCTCACAGAAGCCACCCATGCTGGGAAGCCACCCTGATCTCAGCCTTCCCAGGTTCCAAACAGTGGAAAATGAGCTTCTGTTGTTTAAGCCACCGCATCTGTGGTATTGGAGTGATGGCACTGATGTCATGTCTGTGTGGAGTGTACCTGTGATGTCCTTCTGGGGTGATGACTGTATTTTCCTAGGAGGTTGTGGTGACACTTTATACTGTGTGTGACATGGATATAGCTGCCCTCAAAGAGGAATCTACTCCACTCTCCTTGAAATGGAGGCCAAATGCTACATACTTCTATCATGTGTTCTTGGGACACTGGCTCTTAAGGAAGTCATTGCCATAGAAATAGCGCATCTTCCCTGAGGTATCATGCTGTAAAACTATTCCATGCACAGAGACCATATGTGGAGAGCCTGAAACCAAATGGAGAGAGTGAGTGAGAAAGAGAAAGAGAGCTGGGGTGGAGGTGTCTGGATATCACCTTGCTGGCCCAGGCTCCACTTACCAGCACCAGCCAGTGCTCAGCTGAATCTGCACAAGAGACCCCAAGCCAGAGCCACAAGGCTTTCCTGAATTCCTGACCCAGCGATTCCAGAAGGTAAATAAAATGCTTTAACAGCAGTTATGTATCTTGCACTGGTAGTCATGAAACACTCTGCTTTTATATTTGAACCTTCCTAAAATAGAAAGGGTTTCTCTGCGAAGTGTGAAGTCACAGAGTAAAGATCATCTTGCTGAGAAAATTTTAAGTTTGTTCACAGTAAAACACTTCCATTTGAAATGCCTCTACTTTTGGCAGGAGTTTGAGCTTTCAAAAATGTGGGCCTGGGGCCGGGGATTTAGTTCAGTGGTTCCAGCACCTGCCTTGTAAGCACAAGATCCCGAGTTCGATCCCTGGTACCAAACAACAAAACAAAGCAAAACATGGGTCTTCCTTGGAACATGTGCTCCCCATATATCAAGTGGTGTATTATCCTAGCTTTAATACTGCACTTCACGAGGTGCTAATTAGACAAGAGGAACAGAGTAAGGAAAATAGGGAGGGTAAGGGGGTGGTATGATCAAAATATGTTATATGCATGTATGAGAATGCTGTATTAAAACCCAATATTTTGTAAAATTAATATGCACTTATAAAAATATATTTTAAAATATTCAGCCAATATTTTTCCTCAAAAAGGAATAATTACTTCATATGATTCAAACTTTTGATGTTTAAACTATGTGGTAATTACTAGGTGAGCATTTTTAAATCTTGAAAAGTTACTGACTTATGTCAATAAATAGTAAAGGTAAAGAAGAATTTCAAACTCAGGCCTGAGCGTGCACCGGGCCACTCCACACCCTCCTGGGGCTTCACACACATTTGACCTCTCCGGTTCAGATGAGGACAAGTTTTACAGGGCTTCCTCCCCACAGCTCCCCTCCTCGGGGTTCACTGGGAGTATTGGGAATTCAGCCACCCAGGTAAGCACTTGCTAGTGATCAGGTATAGACACAGCTTCTTCATCTCGTTCAGTTCTTTGTCCTTGGTCACTCACAAGATTCATTTAAGACAGTCATGTTCATATTTCTATAGAGGATGAGCATTCCCTAAAGGGAACAGGGACACAGAGCCTTTTACTAAATGCAGGTGTAGGCACCCCTGAGAGTGGAGGGCGGGGTCAGGAGACACAGGACCTATGAGGGTCACAAAGCAGGGTGGGCCAGATCACCACACTGTTCTCATGTGAGGCCAAGAGTGCTTTTCTGAGCATTTCTAGCTAACTGCATTCGTTCACTACTGCTCACCACAGTAATGAAAGATATTTCTAAGATGAAGTAACACTGTGATTTCATCAACCCTGTGTTGGAGATTTAGAGAGTGATTTTGTAAGAGTGATTTGTTGAAAGCAGCTCTGGAATGTGGGCTCCAGATTATGACCCTGCAAACACTGGGCCCCCAAGTGTGAATTACAGTTCTGGGTGTTGCAAATATTAACTAACTTCCCGGGGTGTTGATTAAAGTCAGCACAGGCCCCCCACCACTCTCTTTCTCTTTTTTTCTCTCTCTCTCTTTCTCTCTTTCCCTCTTAGGTGATTGTCGTAAACTATATTCCTGACAATTTAACAGCATCACATGTACAAAACCTCACTGTTTCTTTGACCTTTAAATGGCCCCAGGGTCTGCCCTTAATATGTTCCTATCCAGCCTGCCACCCCCACTCTCTCTAGTCCCCCACACTTGTGACTTCTCACGTTCCCCACATGTTATCTATACTCACCACAGCCCCTTTTCATCTCTGTCCTCCCATCTGGAAATCTCCCACCCTCCTAGGCGGCTCCTGCTCATGGTCATTTTCTTGAGCTGATGCCACTTCCTCTTCCTCCATGAGGGTGTCTGGTCACCCTTACACTTCCCATTCTTTACCCCCTCTTCTTTTTATTTTGCCATAAAATTTACCTTCAGTTGGTATTTTATTATACATTAATTTGTTTATTGTCTGTCTTTCTCAGGAGAATGTAAGGTCTATGTAGAGTGGAAACCTCTAACTCATGGCTTTATTGCTGATCCTTAGGACAGTGCCTGGCAGGTGGCAGGAGCTCAAGATGCCTCTGTGTGTCAATGACTCCATGGTGGCAGGGCTCTCCTTTGTCTTACATGTGTGTAAGGTGCACAACCTGAGTATTGCTGTATGTGTGCCACAGCCTTCTTGAGTCATCAACACTCCACTAGGTGTTGTGTAAGGGATTCTTTGGAATGGAGTTTGTGTCCCAGAGGAGGCTGGTGGCCTTCCAGGCAGTAACTCAAAGCTGGCTCTTGATAGCCAAGACTGATATCAGCCTGATCCCCATCACACTCATTTTTCATTTTGCTTATTTGTTTATACTAAATGCTTCCAGGGCCCTGTGTATCAGGCTCTGTGACACTCACCAGCATGACGTAAGGAATTCTGCTTTCTCCAGTAGATAACAATCAGGGAAGACAGAAGTTAAACAAGCAACCGCAATCAGTCAAGGCAGGTGCCAGCCACTATGAGATGAATTCATGATTCTATGGGACAATAGCATTGTGGAGCTAGCTGATTGTTATTTTTCCCTGAATTTTGCAGCATGTTATTAAATATAGCCATCAGTAAAAACTAAATAATGCCTGTAACCTCAGCACTCTGGGAGGCTGAAGCAGGAGGATCACAAGTTTGAACCTACCCTGGGAAACTTAGTGACACAGTGAGGCCATGTAAAAAAAATAAAAAAGGGCTAGGGATGTAGCTCAGATCAAAAGACCTGACTCAGTCCTTAGTATTGAAAAAAATTAAATTATGCAAATTTATGTAAATAAATTACATTAAAGACAAAGATAATAAATTCTGAAAACTCTCCGTTTCCTAGTTGTGCTCTTGAGCTTGTTTAAATCTGGTGCTTCTGTGTCGTGGAATTGCGATATAATGGTGTCTACCATGCATCTTTCCCCAACTCTTCATCCAGTGCCAACTCATTGTAGCTGGAAGTTGACTGAGGTGTGTGTATTCACTCCATGGAAATTTCTAAAGTCACAGCCTTCCTCTCAGACAGCCTGCTGACATGTGCACTCACAACAGGACAGTTTGCCTCACTTGGGGACAGGAGACAAGGAGCCTGAGAGGGGAATCAGGGGCTGCAAGGTGGCCGAAGGCTCCCTTGCTCTCTCTGACAGCCAGGGAGGCTGTGAGACAGTGCTCAACCTCCTCCCTGAAGTTCTTCAGGGCTTCTCTCTAACAGTACATGATTTATAGTGGGGGGGCAAAATGAAACTTCTTTAATCAGACTTCTTCAGAATTTTATTTTCCATGGTAAAAACATTTAACATGAGATCTACCATCTTAACAAAATTTTAATGCTTTGTTTACTATGGTAATGGTATTCAGCAGGTATCTAAAGTTTATTTTTTTTGTTTATTTGAAGCTTTATTACCCTTGGTTAACAACTTCTTGTTGTTTTCTCCTCCCCTCTATCTCTGACAATCACTGTTTCAATATTTTATTTTATAAATTGCCTGACTGAAGATGCTTGATATAAGTGGAACTATGCATCAATTGTTCTGTAACTGGCTTATTTCATGTTGTATAATATCTTCAAGGTTTATCCATGTTGCTGTACATTGCAGAATGTCCTTCTTTTTAAAGGCTGAGTAATATGCCATTGCATGGATGTACCACGTTTATGCATTCATCTGTTGATGGACTGTTAGGTTGCTTCCACTTCCTGGCTATTGTGAATAATGCTGAAGTGGACTCAGAGATGCAGACATATCCTTGAAATCCTGACTTCAATTCTTCTTGATAAATGCTCACAAGCATCACTGTTGGATCACATGGTAGCTCTGTTTTAGTTTCTTGATGAGCCTTCATATTGTTTCCCATGGCAGACCCCACCACTTCACATTGTCACCAACAGCGTACAATG